GCTAAAAGCAGCCTAATGTTAGTGTAATCTATTAACTACACATTGTATCTTTTTAGTCAAGTAGCATATGGATGTTATTTTTTTAATATGACTGAATTTGTATTTACCATGATCACAATTTAATAAAAACATTGTAAGTTACTAATTATATAATGCTTACATTTCCTCAGTTATTCAATCATCAGCTACAGAAAACAAGCAAAGAACATTTACATTATCAAAGACAGCCCTCTACGGACACCTTGGCAATTGAATCGCCATTGGCTAGTAAAATTTTTAGTTTACTCGCCAGACTGATAAATATATAAATACACATATATCACAATTTGTGGGCTTCTGCTTGTCCACTCGCCTTTTGAGGACTGACCACAGGTTCTCTATGGGATTGAGATCCGGGGAGTTGCCTGGCCATATATATATATATATATATATATAGTGTGACAATACCGGTATTACCGTGGGGGCAGGGGTGTTCCCTCTTTTCCTCGCTTTCCTTCGCTTTTAAATAGCTTACAAAAGTGGCGTGCGCATTTTACTTTCACTTTCAAATAGCGGCAATTCGGCGTAAAGCAATTGTTCGTTTTTAGTGCATTTGAATTTTCCCTCTTTTCCTCGCTGTTATTTTGACAGGAAAATACAACAAAGAATATAGTTTACATGTAACGCGTCAATTCTCTCTCTCTGACTCTGCGTGTGTGTGTGTGAAACAAAGCGACGGCGAGTTGTGCGCCTTCACACTAGAGTTTACGGTACATTAAACACAGGTGTATTGGTCTGCATTCCCGTGGCTCTCCTGCAGGAACCACGAGACCCGACCAGATTTTTTTCACCGTGGGATTCAATTCCCAAATAAAACGCAGTAGCGGTCGGTAACTCTGGTGTAATTTGAACGGGAGCAGGCGTTCTAACAATATCCCGTTCCCGACGTCCATTTAGATCAGCATATGTGCGCTTTATTCTTATTGACCATTGGTACAGCCTGCACTCGGACTGTCATGCACGCGCTGCACACATGCTTTCTGCATCACGTGTTTTATTTGCGGGGTCTGTGCAGCATGTGCATAACGATGCTCAGAGCAGGCTGTACCGGTGGTAAATATACGGCCCTCAGTGAGAACATGAGTGACAGAGCAAAATAAGGATGGAGCAAAGTGTGGATGAGCTGTCCTTGAAGGACGTTCAACTCTGTTTTGTTTGTTTTGCTTAGCCTATCATTTTAAATGACAGATGTCATTTTTTTTTTTTTTTCTGCGACTTTCCTACTGTTAACAGAAAAATGTCAAATGAATTTAGTATTTTGACAATATGAATAAAAATAGCTAATAGGCTATTTTTGTACAACCTTCATTTTTTTTCTCTTTGCGACACTTTTTCCTATTGTGTTGTAAATGTTAAACGAATTGTATCCTGGCAAGACAAATAAAAAATAAGAAATAAAATTTTTGTACAACATTTTTATTTTCTCT